TTTGGTTAATACGTTGACTTTACAGTATTCGTATAATTTCAGTTACTTCTTGCTGCTCTCCTCCTGAAGGAACATGTTGATTTATTTGATGTGGTGTATATTGCTGCAAATATCCTTTATACTGCTGAGGTGTATGTTGTTGTACATCATTTAGTTGTTGAGATGTATGTTGTTGCTGTTCCACATTATTTTGTTGCATGTATACTTGATGTTGCTGAGCTGTATGTTGTTGTTGATACCATGACGATGGATGTGGATACTCCATAGCAGGTTGCCATATCCACATTATTTTGTTGCATGTATACTTGATGTTGCTGAGCTGTATGTTGTTGTTGATACCATGACGATGGATGTGGATACTCCATAGCAGGTTGCCATATCCCTTGTGGTGGATGTAATTGTTGTTGCTGCTCATATTGCTGAGGTGTATGTTGTTGCCGTTGTTGCACATTATTTTGTTGCATGTATCCTTGATGTTGTTCTTGTTGTTGGTATCATAATGATGAATGCGGATAATCCGTAACAGGTTGCCAGATCCCTTGTTGTTGAGGTAATTGTTGTTGTCGCTCATATTCTCTTTCCTGTTGTCCTTGTAAATACTCCGGGTGATTTACATTATAGTGCATTTTTAATGCTTGAGAATGTAAAAACATTCTACTACAAATTTGGCAAATTTTATGAATTTTCATATGCCGTGTTAGGGCTGAACTAAAATTAAATTCTTTTGAGCAGAAATTGCATACGAATTTTGCCATTTTGAGTTATAAATTTTACGCAAACAAATCACAATAAAAAGCTTTTCACAATATTAAGTTTTTCACAATAGTAATTTTTTCACAATAATAAATTTTTCACGATATTGCGAGATATTGATACCGCAAGATATTGATGCTGTAAGATATTGATATCGCAAGATATTGATACCGTAAGATAATGATACCGCAAGATATTGATGCTGTAAGATATTGATATCGCAAGATATTGATACCGTAAGATATACCGCAAGATATTGATGCTGTAAGATATTGATATCGCAGGATATTGATACCGTAAGATATTGATACCGCGAAGGTTGCTTTCTCAAGAAGAAGAAGTAATGTACTAACTAAATGTGGGTAACTATGTAAAATTTAAACCATGGAAACAATTGATTTAGAGATACACCAAATATTAGAAAAAAAAATAATAATATGACAGATAATCAATGGTGGGACAGACATATGGTCTTGGTAGAATCTATAGACCGATGGGCGCCTCTCCAATCATAGCAACAAACACTTGCTGATAAGAGACTTAAGATTCAAATTGGCTTAATGGACAGACATTGCATCTTGTAAATTCTAACAAATTCTTTCTGATAAGACACCCATGATCGGACTGAGTCTTGTTCCAATAGACAATCATATGAGACACTGCTTCATGTATTTCACAATATTGTGCAACCAAGAAAAAACAAGTGGGTAGAGAAGGGGGATAAATGTAGGCAAGAGCGGTGGCCGCACTGCGACACTGCATCACGAAAACAAGTGAATAGGGAAGGAGGGGGGACACATATAAGCTTACCGAAAAATACGGAAGAAAGGGGGGAAGAACAAATATGGGACACAAGCGGTATTGATTCAGGGTCATCAAGGTCATACGAATGGACCACATTGGACAAGACAAAAAAGAAAACAAGTGGATAGGGAAAGGGGGAAACACACATAAGCTTACGGGAAATATACGGAACAAAGGGGGGAAAGAACAAATATGGGACACACGCGCTATTGATTTCGGGGACCAGTAAACTTTCAAGGTCATCAAGGTCATACAAATGGACCACATTGGGCAAAGACGAAAGAAAATATTGAACAGACGGACGGCAATTACGTCATTTGCGTAAAGCAATTAGAATAAATCAATTATAAATGCACCACATTAGGGAAAGACGAAAGAAAATATTGAACAGACGGACGGCATAAAACAATAAGAGGGAAAGAGAGAGAACACAATATGATCACACAACACACCAAGAGGAAAAGAGAAGGATGAGTCATCAATACAGACCTATTACGTCATTTGTATAAAGCAATTAACATAAATCAATTTGCGTAGGGCAATTAGCATAAAGCAATTTGGGGCAGAACATATGTCTTACTACTACTAAGTTCTCTTATATTAAAAGGTGGACGAAACCAAAAATGGTTTGGAACTATAGAAACTCCACCCATGTATGCTAGCTCCTTCATAAATATATGTTTGTGGTTCCCATGACAAAATTGGAAATCCAGTAATCCAATATCCGATCTGTCAAGTTCATCCATCTTCGTGGAGATGTTAAATGGACTGAAGAATTCCATATCCTAAATTACGTTTTTTTTCAATAAAAAATTTTAGGTAGCTGTATTATTAGTTTTTTGAATTGTCATCTACAAAAATGTCATATTCCTTTTTATAAGGTTTCAAATAGAGACCTTTACCCATCGCAATGGCTTCTATGGTTTTATTGTGTCTAGTTTGCTCATCCAATGATTGTTTTGCTTTTTTAGCATTCATTACTGCATTAGCAATTGCTGAACTACCCGATGCTAACGTTCCCAATGCTCCTAACCCAGTCAGAATCGGTATAAGTGGGAGAAATCCTCCGGTTTTGGGAACCCTTATTACTCGGGGTATAACCACCTTAGACTTCTTTCCTCGGAACGTCTTTTGAATTTCTTTCTTTGCCATATGTATAGCAGCATCAATATCTGTTGGTTAAGCAGCTTTAAGAGTTGATGTAGCATTTTTAACAGCATTTTTAAAAATTTGCTGCCCTGATATATGTTATGAATTATTATTATTATTCAAACCCATTCCAAACTTAGTTTTAGCTTTCATTGCGTTCGTTACAAAATATGCGTTCAGTTTTTCTCCAATACTACTATCTTTAGCTTTCACACGTTCCCACGCTCTTTCAGTCAGTTCACGATCTGCAATATGTCGTTGTTCAATGTCTTCTGTTTTTGCATTGGCAATATCGTGTACTTTACACGCAGCATCCAATGGATTAATACCTTTATCACCCTTCTTCAAGCGGGATTTAAGTTTTGTACCAGGTCCACAAAACTGATAACCAGGGAGATGAAGTTCCACCGGTAAAGAATTTATTAACTTATTTACAAGTCCTCTTCCTTTAACAGACTTCTTTCTAATAAAATTATTGTTGTTATAAACAATAATTTTATACCTTTTATCTCTTACACTATGACAAAAATAAAGGCAAATAAATAAATAGTTAATGGTTAGAAAATATGAGTTAGTTGTGAAATGCGATTAGTTGGACAACAAATTAAAATTTCAGTGCAAAATGTGGATTTTATACAAAAGAAAACCCCCAGACACAGTGCTTTGTTGGCTAATACAATCCGAGCCTTAATAGTGGGTCCGTCAAATTGTGGAAAGACCAATGTTATGCTTAGTCTAATAGAAACCCCCAATGGTTTAAAATTCCAAAACGTTTATATATATTCAAAATCATTACATCAACCCAAATATGATTATCTCAAGAAACTCATTTCGTCCATAAAAGGCATGGGATTGTATACATTTAGTAATAATGAAGATGTTGTACAACCAGAAGTCATAAAACCAAATTCGATTATGATATTCGATGATGTAGCTTGTGATAAACAAAATAATATTAAAATTTACTTCAGTATGGGCCGTCACAAGAATGTTGATTCATTTTACCTCTGTCAAACATATACACGAATTCCAAAACATTTGCTACGAGGTAATTAAATATGATTATTTTATTCAAGCAAGATGATTTGAATTAAAGACACATATACAATGATCATGTTGGAAGTGATATGAGTTTTGAAACATTCAAAGACATATGTCTCGAATGCTGGAAAGTCAAATATGGATTTCTAACTATTAGCAAAGATGATGAAATTGACTCTGGAAGATATAGAAAAGGCTTTCATATATTTATACAGCCTTAATACTAGTAATATTATTTAAAATATCTCTGTTGTAATTACCTCTCTTAGTATAATATTAACCATGGGAGAAATGTTGAAACGACTTGTTCAGTCCCGAAATGTCTTAAAGAGAAAGTTTCAGAGCATAAAAAGGGTAGAGCAAGTTAAATCGAATGAGCTGCAAAATACATTTAAACCAGTAACAGAGCCAATACACAAACTTTTACAGTTGAAAGAAAATACACCCAAATTAATGTTTCCTCAAAACGAAAATATAGATCCATATAATAATTCTATTATTGCGAGTACGCCCAATAAAAAATGATGCACACAAAAAAATTTCTTAGAGATTCTAATAGCTACAATGAGTCAAAAGATGATACATTTTATTCCGACGTGAATGATGAGGGTACCGTTGATGTTTCTCTATTGAATAAAACTAAAAAATTGGATACAGTATATGGACCACATAAAGATGTAGATGGTAAATGGAAATTTGGAGATAAAACATTAAAAGCCAATGATGAAAAAATTATTATAGGGAATAAAAATTGGGCATATACGCCTGGATTGTTCGAACTTCTATTTTATCAAAAACCTGCAAACTACGACTTATCAGAACTATAAATATACAAAAAAAAATTTGCCGGATTCCAATGCCCATAAAATAAACTACAATGGCAGTGAACGAATTAAATCCAACAGAGGTTATAAATATAAACGAATTATTAAAAGGTTAATGGAGGATACTCACAGCGTTAATGGCTTAATGAACGTTAATCTTTGTAAACCAAACTACATATACTGGGATGATCCAAATGAAATGGTAGAACGGTTAAAGCTTTTGTTAGCATCGCAACAAGCAGGAAACAATAATCATAGTAACAAAATTGTATCTATTATTGAGGAACTGAGAGAAGGACATATAATATATTAGGAAACTACTACTACATGAAAAGACTTAATCGATGACAGTTGATAAGTTTGGACACCACTATAATTCAAAGTACAGCTCGGTTACACTAAAGGGAAATGTTTCGAGAATATTGGGAATCAATGTTGATGAAGATAACAATCTGGACATACAAAATAAAAACTTAAGAACTTGGCTCCCTCAGCGGAAGGAACAGATGCGGTCAACTAAGCATACGTACATTCGCAAAACAAAAACCTTCAAGAAATATTAATGAAAAATGTATTTCAAGAATGTGATAATATAAGAGAAGAAATAGCGCAATTGAAACAATCGCTGAGCGAAGTTTATAAAGTTTTATCCCAGCATCCATTCAACTCACCAGCTTTTGTATATCACACTGAATAGGAAAATGGAAACTCAAGCAAGAAAAAAATTTAAACGTCGAAGGGTGATTATGAAAGGGATTGGTGATTTATGGGAAGCTGATATAGTTGAAATGGGGAATTATTCCAAAGTAAATAGGGGTTACCGATTTATGCTTACAGTTATTGATACGTTTTTTAAATATGCCTGGGATGAAGAACTTAAATCTAAAAATGCTGTAGATGTTTGTACAGCTTTCGAAAAAATTTTAAAAACTGGAAGAATTCCCAAAAATTTACAAACTGATGACGGAAAAGAATTTTGCAACATAATATTTAGTAAAGTAATGCAGAAAAATAGAATAAATCATTGCTCTACATACAGTGTATTGAAATCATCATTTGTTGAACGTTTCAATAGAACGTTAAAGGGGATGATGTGGAAGGAGTTTAGTTATAAAGGAAATTATAAATGGAACAATGTTTATAAAAATTTAATAAATAAATACAATAAAACCCTACATGGGACAATACAAATGTCTCCTATACAAGTAAATTCTTCAAATGAGAAAGCATTGCTCTCCTCTGTGTATAATAATATAAAAATATTTAAGGAACCTAACCTTCATGTGGGTGATTATGTACGCATCAGTAAATATAAACATCAGTTTGATAAGGGGTATACTCCAAACTGGGCAACTGAAATATTTAAAATTAGAACTATAAGAATAACAAACCCTGTAACATATTATCTAGAAGATTTTGAAGGGAATCCAATAAAGGGATGTTTCTATAGGGAAGAACTTTTGCCTACAAAAATTCAAAAATATACTTAGTAGAGAAAATTTTAAAATCTAAGGGCAATAAAATTTTCGTTAAATGGCTGGGATTCACAAATCAACATAATTCATGGATTTATAAGAATGATGTATTGTAATATATATATATATATATATATATATACTGGTAAGGATGCAGTAGAAAAAATTTTTAAAATGTTGGATAATAAGTGTAGGGATATTCATAAAAAATATTTAAGTAACAATAAGCCAATGACACCTTTAACGCCATCTCAAAATGTAGACTTTACCACTGCAGTAGATTGTCTTATTTGTGATGAGGATTTGGATAGTGATAGGGTTCGTGATCATTGTCACATAACTGGTCAGCATAGGGGAGCTGCACACAACGAGTGCAATATAAACTATACTATTCTAACATTTATACCCATTTTATTCACAATTTTTCTGGATACGATTGCCATATTTTTATAAAAGAACTAATTAAATATGTCCCTTGTAAGAAAACTAATATAATTCCACAAAATAAAGAATTATATATTTCATTATCACATATTGTTGATATGGATAATGGTATGGAATTTGAATATAGGTTTTTAGATTCCTTCAAATTTATGGCGGCAAGTTTGGAAACGTTAGCCAATAATTTGGAAGATGTAGATCTGAAATCAGTTATAATAATTCCAGTTGTACTTTTGGTGATTATGAACATGCAAAACGTGTGTGGGAGACGTTTAACTGTCAATCATTAAAAGACTATATGGAGTTATATTTGAAGACATGCACTTTATATAAACAGATGTACTTTTGGTGATTATGAAATTCCTGCAAAAGTGTGTAAACGTTTGATCTGTCATTAAAAGACTATATGGAGTTATATTTGAAACAGATGTTGCAATGTTACGTTTTACGAAAATAACACTTGATCTTCTAAGAGATTTGAACATGTTCAATGTTATTAAAAAAGGTATCAGGGGTGGTCTAGTTCAATGTACCAAAAGATTTGCAAAAGCAAATAACAAGTACATGAAAGACTACAATCCAAATTTGCCATCACATTATTTATTATATTTGGATGCCAATAATTTGTATGGTTGGGGAATGAAGCAGTATCTTCCAGAAGGAGATTTTAAATGGTTGCAACCTGAGGAGGCGATAACAGATGTTGAGGAAATTCTTAAATTCATTCATAATTCTACCATTGGATACATATATGTAGTAGACCTTGAGTATCCGGAAGAATTGCATGATCTACACAATGATTTACCCTTTTGTGCAGAAAATAAAAAGGTTGGGGATTCAAAATATGAGAAGCTTATTGCTGATTTTAGTCCAAAGAAAAACTATGCAATACATTATATGAATTTAAAACAATGTTTAGAAAATGGGCTAAAATTAACAAAAGTTCATTTTGTAATTTCGTTTCGTCAATCTCCATGGTTAGCACCATATATAGATAAAAATACAGCCGAACGACAAAAGGCATCTAATTCATTTCTTAAAGACTTATATAAACTATATAACAATTCTGTTTTTGGGAAAACAATGGAAAACGTGGATAAAAGGAAGAACATTAAACTAGTCAATCATTGGGAATATAAAGATAGACGTAGAATTGGTGCTCAAAAATTGATATCAAAACCAAACTTTCATAGTGCATCACAATTTGATGATGAATTATGGGCAATCCAAATGAACAAAACAAACGTGACATACAATAAACCTATTTATTTAGGTTTTTGTATTTTAGAACTTGCTAAATATAGAATGTATGATTTCTTTTATGGATATATTAAAAAAAAATTTGGCAATCGTGCAACTCTTTGTTATACAGACACGGACTCATTTATTTTAGATATTGAAACGGATGATGTATACGAAGACATAAAATCTGACATTGACTTGCAGTTTGATACATCCGATTATCCAGATGACAATATATATAAAATCCCCAGAAAAAATAAGAAAATAATTGGTATGATGAAGGATGAGAACTGTGGAAGAATTATGACCACGTTTGTTGGATTAGGACCTAAAATGTATTCCTTCCAGGTTGAAGATGGCGAAGAAGTAAAGAAAGCAAAGGGCGTTAAAAAGTGTGTAATTGCAAAATATACAATAAATGATTATAAAGAATGTTTACTAAATGAAAAAATAACTACAGATGTCATGATTAATTTTAGGTCTAAGATGCACCAAATTGTATACAAATAAAATGCTTAAGATAGTTTTAAATTGTAAAGATACAAAAAGAAAAATCAAAGACGATAAAGTAAATACTTATGCATGGGGGCATAGAAATATTGAAAATGAATATGTAAGTAACATTAACCTTGACTTTTCAAGACCATTGGATATAGATTTATCTAGTAGTGATATAAATGATGATGAGCTAGATAGGTATTTAAATATCGACGAAGATTATTTAAATAGTTTAAACTTTGATTTTTCCATTCCAATGGAAACAGATTTAGATATTCCATGTAATATTGACATTGATGAATTGAATGTATATTTATAAGTTCCCATTGTAAATAACAATATATAAAAATATATGTATCTATATACATATATATATATATATATATATATAAATAATAAACAAAGTGTAAATTATTTCATTGTAAAGAAATGTGTTTTATTTCATTTAAATAAATTTAATGTTTAATATAATATGTAAGTATAAATATCTTATACTACTTTTCGAACAATTCCAGTCAAAGGTATGTATTCCACCAGACGATCATGGATAATCAGACAATATGCTAAAGTATTTGGGGGAATTGGTGTACTGGTTTCAAATTGGATCTTCAAATCAATTGGTCCATTCTTCACGACTTCGTTTTGATTACTTATATCAATGACAGCAATTGGATTGTCTTTAAAGCCTTTGTAGGAAAGAAGTGGATGTGGTTCTCTCATATAGTATGTTTCTTGAAACTTGGTATACATATCGTAAAGTACTGCATAGCGATTTTCTCCATACTTTAGATTTAAATCATCATAGGGATACGTTTCTGAATTCAAATGTACTTTGATGTTTTGAAGATCACAATGCATCAATTTGTGATCTTTTTCAAATACAAATGCCACATATCGTGGTCTTTCATGATTTGCCGATAATTTAACATTCCAGCTGTGTTGTCTTCCACCAACAAATGTTGGATTAAAGTAGCAGTCCCAGCTACGAAATGCTATTGGTAATGTTTTTCCATCCTTTATTGTTTTCAAGAAACTAATTTTTCTATAGTCAGACAAATTTATGTGTTGCACTTTCCACACAATGTTTGTAATAGTAAGACGAATATCTTCTTTTGAGTCTGTAGAATAGCATACATTTGTATCATTGGCACTCCGCAAAAGAATCAAATCATGTTTGCTATTACAAATTACTTTTTTGAAGTCTTCAGCAAATCCAAGCAAACGGTTCAGTGGCATGCAAAAGTTGAAGGAATTGGTTGACACATCATCAACACCCCATCCAGCATTACTCATAACTTTACTTTCAGATTCACTTAGAGAAATCCAATTTTTAACTTTCGTAGTTACACCTAGATAACGTGTACGATCGATTTCAATTCCATTCAATTCATATCGAATTTCATCAAACATATATCCCACACAATTATTCCTTAGTCTAGCATTTGAAGAATTTTCACCATTTGCTTTTCTTAAATAGCCTTCAATATATAAATAGCTTTCGGATGGCAGAACGTATAGGTCTTGATTTTGTATACTTATACGAATTTCATCATTATTTTTAAACGATTGAATATAGGGAACATAGCTATGATAATCTCTCTTTACAATATTCTCATCTGAGAATGGACGCTCATTAATATTGAGAATTTCAGACATTTGGCTTAACTTTTAATTTAAGTAGTTTTAAAAATTCTTTATTTTTTTAGTTATGGGAGGTCTTGTCGGTTTAACAACTTGTTGTGGAATGTTTTTTGATATTTGTTTATATTTATATTTATTATAAATAATCATGTTTGTCTTGATCTTATATGAATTCGAAGTGTGATTTCCTCCCCTCGAAAATTTACTAAGCGACCTTCTTGATCTAATATCTGTACTTCAAGACGACTTATTTCTTTGACGTTTACAGGCAAATAAATGAGATTAAATGGTCTCTCAGCTAATTTATAGCCCGGAGGAACATCTAAAGCAAATTCATGTAAGATATGAGCAGGTGAATTATTCATAAACGATCCAGTTACAATGTTGCAGTGTATTTGTAAAACATTGACCTTTAAAATATTTACTGGAAGGTTGGAAACATGTTTTTGTCTGGGCTCCAAAATTTTTTCAGTGAATCCAAAGAGTTTTGCAATAGATTTATCCTTATTAAAGAATATTGGGTCATGAGATGATTCAATTTCTATTTGTAATGTGTTATTGTTGGCTTTAATGTTAATATTTCTATTTATGTACATATTTTTATAAGCAGTTTCTAAATAGTCAGCGATGTCTTGTAGCTCATACGATCCTATTGGTATTTTTATTATTTTGTCACCAATATGAAACAAATTATTATCATCATCCACATTAGGTATTGAGTTGTATGTTTGAAAATCAATTAAACTGCACTCATATTCAACATCCCCTAATTCTATAGGCGGTGAATAATTTGAGTGTAAAATTGAACTATTACCGGTTAAAGTGAATGTTCTTGACATTGCGAGATTCTTTTTTAAAATAAATAAGAACACAAAGGTATACATATTTTTATATAATTTTTATTGAGAAAAATTTATCTTAAATTATATTACATTATTCTTATCAATCCATGAATTATGCTTGTTTGAAAACCCCAACCATTTAACATAAACTCTATCAGCCTTAGATTTTATAATTTTTTCTATCAAGTATATATTGGGATATTTTGTAGGTAAAAGTTCTTCCCTATAGAAACAGCCTTGTATTGGATTTCCTTCATAGTCCTCTAGTAAATATGTTGTAGGATTCGTAATACGTACTGAACGTATTTTAAAAATTTCTGTTGTCCAGTTTGGTGTGTAACCCTTTTCGAATTGATGTTTATATTTGCTTATACGTACATAATCTCCAACACGCAGATTGGGTTTTTTAAAAATTTTTATGTGATTATATACAGATTTAAGTAACGCTTTCTCATTTGTGGAATTGACTTGGGAAGGTGCCATATGTATAGTACGGTGTGGTCTTTTATTGTATTTCGCAACTAAATCTTTATAAATATTAATCCATTTATAATTACCATTATAGCTAAACTCTTTCCACATCATTCCTTTTAATGTTCTATTGAAACGTTCAACAATTGACGCTTTCAATACACTGTATGTGGAGAAATGATTTATTGAATATTTTTGCATAAGTTTGGAAAATTCCTTGTTGAAAAATTCTTTTCCATTATCAGTTTGTAAATTCTTGGGTATTCTTCCAGCTTTCAAAATTATATCGAAGGCTCTATAAACATCAGTAGCATTTTTGGATTTTAGAGCTTCAACCCATGCATATTTCGAAAATGTGTCGATGACTGTAAGCATAAATTTATACCCCTTGTTAGCTTTGGAATAATTGCCCATTTCTACTAAATCAGCTTGCCATAAATCATCGATACCCTTTGTAATAACTCTTCGTCTTACGAATTTTTTCCGTGCTTGAGTATGTAGTTCGTTTACTAATTTTCGTTTTTCCATGTTTCTATTCAGTATGGTATATTGTAGCTGGTGAGTTAAATGGAAACTGAGATAAAATTTTAAAAATTTCGTTTTGCGATTTCTTTAGCTGTGATATTTCTTCTCTTATAGTACTGCATTCTTGAATTATACCTTTCTTTAATATTTCTTGTAAGTGTTTGTTTTGTGAATGTACATATGATTGGTTGACTGCATCCATTCCTTCCGATGGTGGCGCCACGTTTTTAATTTTTTTATTTTGTATGTCAAGATTGTTATCATTGTCAATATTGATTCCAAGTATTCTCGAAACATTTCCCCTTAATGCTAACGAGCTATACTTTTGATTATAATGATGTCCAAATTTATCAACGGTCATCTATTTAGTTTTTAATTACTTAGTATATTAAGTTTCCTTCTCTTAGTTCTTCGATAATAGAAACAATCTCATTCGTATGATTGTTGTTGCCAGCTTGTTGTGATGCTATCAACAGCTTTAAGCGTTCTACTAATTCATTAGGATCGTCCCAGTATATATAGTTCGGTTTAACTTGTTTTACTCTCATTAAACCTTTGCCACTGTGAGTATCATTCATTAACTTCTTAATAATGTGAATATATTTATATCCTTTGTTGGACTTGATTCGTTCATTGGCATTATAGTTTACTTTATGTGCATTGGAATCCAACAAAATTTTTATATATATATATATCTAATTCCGATGCGTCATAGTTTGAAGGTTTTTTTTATAAAAGAGTAGTTCAAACAGGCCAGGGGTAAATGCCCAAATTTGATTTCCAATTGTGATTTTTTGATCATTAATTTTCAATGGTTTATCCCCAAATTTCCATTCTCCATTAGCTTCTTTATGCGGTCCATATACTGTATCCAATTTTTTATTATTATTCAAGATGGAAAGATTGATGACATCCTCTTCATTATTCTCAGAATAAAATGTGTCGTCATTTGACTCATTACTGTAGTCTTGACTGAAATCGGTTTCATGTTCAACATCCTTGGAAATATTGGACTCTAGGTTTATATCTTTCTTATACTTTTTATTGGGAGTACTCGCCGTAATAGATTCTTTATAAGGACTCATATATTCCTTCTTAGCAATAGTTATTTTTGGTGTCTTTTCACTTGATAGCTTTATTAGTTTCTCTATTGGTTCAGTTATAGGTTTAAATCTGTTTTTTAATTCATCAGTCTTGACCTGCTCACCCATTTTAATACTCTGAAACTTTCTCTTTAGTACATTTTTAGAGTGAACAAGACGTTTCAACATTTCTTCTTCCATGGTTGCAATTATACTAACAGCACAAATTTATAATAGGGATATTTTAAATATGGCTATGGTTTTATGAATATGTCAAAACATTTTCTATATCTTCCAGAGTCAATTTCATCGTCTTTGCATATTGTTAAAAACCCATATTTTTCCTTCCAACATTCATGACATATTTCTTTAAAAGTAACCATACTCATGTCACTTCCGACATGGTCGTTATATATATGTTTTAAATTCAATTCATCTTGTTTAAACATGATGATCATATTAGCATTGTCACGTATCAAATGTTTTGGAATGCGTGTATATGTTTGACATAAGTAAAATGAATCAACAATTTTATGTCGACCCATACTGAAATATATTTTTATATTATTTTGTTTATCGCAAGCCACATCATCAAATATCATTATGGAATTTGGCTTAATATCATCAGGTCCTCATTACTACTGAAAGTATACAATTCCATACCCTTTACTGAGGAAATACGTTTTTTTAAATAGGCATATTTCGGTTAAATTCAATTCATCTTGTTTAAACATGACTATCATATTAGCATTGTCACGTATCAAATGTTTTAGAATGCGTGTATATGTTTGACATAAGTAAAATGAATCAACAATTTTATGTCGACCCATACCGAAATAGATTTTTATATTATTTTGGTTATAGCAAGCCACATCATCAAATATCATTATGGAATTTGGCTTAATATCATCAGGTCCTCATTACTACTGAAAGTATACAATTCCATACCCTTTACTGAGGAAATACGTTTTTTTAAATAGGCATATTTCGGTTGATAAAGAGATCTTGAATAAATGTAAATATTTTGAGAATTTAATCCTAGGACTTTCTATCAAGCCAAGCATCACATTAGTCTTTCCACAATTTGATAGTCCCACAATTAAGGCTCGTATAATATTGGGTAATAAATGGCTATGTCGGGGGGTTTTCCTTCCTGTAAAATCCGCATTTTGTGTAGAAATTTTAGATTGTTGCTCAACTAATCTCATTTTTACAACAAACGAATTATTTTAGAAACATGGACTATTTATTCTATTTTTAATATTTTTCTTTCGTTTAGGTAAAAAAAGATATAAAATGTTTGTTTATAACAAAAATAAAGTTATTAGAATTAAAACTGTTAAAAGAAGCGGACTTATAAATAAATTTATAAACTCCTTACCAGTGGAACTACATCTACCTGGTTAGTAATTTTATGGACCTGAAACAAAACTTAAAAAAGGATTGGAAAGAGGAGATAGATGCGTTAATCCATTGGATGCAGCGTGTAAAGAACACGATATTGCTTATTCAAAAAACGTTGACCTTGAACAACGACATATTGCTGATCGTGAACTGGCGGAAAGGGCTTGGGAACGAGTGAAAGCAAAAGATAGTAGTATTGGAGAGAAACTTAGTGCATATCTCGTTACTAACACAATAAAGGCTAAAACAAGGCTTGGTCTGGGATTGGCTAATAACAAATCAAAACAAATATAAGGTCAAACAATTTTTAAAAATGCTGTTAGAAATGTAACCTCAACCTTAAAAAGTATTAGTAGATTACCAAAACGAGCATATACAAAAGAATGTGGAATTATAAATTTAGATGTATACAGTGGAGATGGTACTCATTGGGTGGCATATTACAAAAACAATAATATTATTGAATATTATGATAGTTTCGGAAATCTACAACCTCCAAAAGAAATATTGAAATATTTAGGATCAAATGTTACATATAATTATAAAAGAGAACAATATTCTACATACAATTGTGGTCACTTATGTTTAAAATTCTTGTTGAAAATGAGTAAGCATTTTTGAATAAATGTGTTATTTAAAATAGAAAATCCTACAGTCAAATTTTACACACACAAGAAAATGCACGAAATTG